TCTTAAACCCCAAGTAACAGTTTATAAAACCTGACTACAACAGTGCAACCTGAGCCATCTCTTCAACATCTGTGATTTTCTCCCCTTCTTCATTCTTCAACACCCTTATAGTACTTCTACGCTGTTTAACTCTTACTGTAACACCCTACCCTATACGTATTACCTAATCATATTGTTCATACAATTGCAGCGGAAATAATCTCGGGTGTTACATTAATTATCAAAATTTACCCAAATAAAATTTCGACATGAATTACTCGCGTAATGAGCTAACAGTTCTTGCAACTTATCCTGCAAAATAATTCATCACAAACATATATACTCACAACCATATGCATTGGCTTTTCTTAGCCATAGCCACACTTTCGTACTCTGCAACTACATACCATACTTGTACAAGTCATAATCGTCACAACTTACACAGTTACACAACATATACACATATCATCAACTTTCCACACCTGTGGATATCTCATACTACATCAGAAGCTAGCATGCACATGAAAAACGTTCTCAAAACATTTTTACAAAAAGGTGTGGATCACTGGCCAAAATCCCAAGTAGTCGTCCAAGCACAAAATAGTTGAAGACCATACCTCATCTTGGCTTCAACTCTATCTCCTCTCCCACCTAACACTCATCTACTGCTGCTGATGATCTGCTTACACATAGCATAAGCAGAGAAGAAGAATAAAAGAGGGTCAGCTCATAGCTGAGTGAGATAATCATAGCATCGTGAGTTCATAACAGAGCATACCCCTACCATACATCTAGCAAATAAGCCCAAGCAATAGGATCAGACCTCAGCCATCCGACATCCCAATAGGCAAAAGACTCAACCACCTTGACTTATGCATATGCGTCTTATCATGTTTTACTTATAGGCGCCTGGCTACTCCCATGCTAATTACTCTCCCGGGAATACGGACCAAACATCCCGTGGATGTGGTCATATCGGACCCACCACTGCCGGTGTAGTCATATCGGACCTGACACCACTATGGGTGTGGTCATATCTCATGATGAATCAACGGTCAACACCACATCAGGGGTGTGACATAACATATCATAACGGAGTAATAGCATGGGGAGCCCTAATTACTATGTAGTTGACCATGAGACCAAATCGCTCTTATTTGGTAATCTTATACATGATCCATATCTCATCTTGCTTACTCATAATTCATTACTTGGACATGTTCTTGACCTGGCCACAATTGGCTCAACATAACCAGGAGTCGTATAATTGCACTTCCTCGGGATAAACCCTCGTGCAAGTCATCCTCCTTAAAACATCATATCACCAGGAAATATATATTTTCCCCCTTGTGCATCCAAATACAACAATCATGAAAAATCATATCTAATCACCTTCTCGAACCATCGTAAAGCACATTAACAGTCAATCCCACAATTTGCAACATATACACAATCATCGGCATAAACAAGGTTCATATCGATTAGGGCAAGTCAATAATATCATACAGCAATCCAGGGTTCAACATATAGCACAAAAGTTCATACACCCCTAATCATGCCATTCTAGTTCACCTAGATCAATTCTAAGCATCAATATAATTATCGTGATACGACAAACCCGGTATGCCGTGCTAATCCCTCACTAGTTCTGGTCGTTCAAACACCGGTTCTAGCCTCCCGTACTAAAACGTCAATTTCACGAACGAACCCCGAATTAAAATCCGAGACCGCCCTAATATCCCCTGCAGTATCCCCGTCAATATTAGTTCTAGGCTCCGGGTCAAATTCTTGATAAAAACACATCAAACCCTGGCCGGAGCTAAATTCAGCGATTAGGACCCCGACCTAAATAATTGCCGAAATTCAGGGATTAGAACTAGAGGATTGATTACCTTGCTGCAGGAAGCTCGTATATGAAATTTGGGCTCAATCCTGCTTCCGGATACTCCGAAACCCTAATTTGGCTTATCGGGAATTCAAGAAATTCCTGAACCAAAAACTCGTTTTAAAGCTCTAAATCGATAAATCACGATGTATAGATGAATTAGGCATTACTTACGGGATTTTTGGATCACTAGAGCTTAAGATTTGAGTTCCGAAATTTTCCCCGAGCTCCCCTGTTCTGCGTTCGGTTCCTTCTCTCGGTAATGGAAATGGCTCTCGGTAGTGGAAATGGACAATGATGATGGGGAAACAGATGTGCCGTGGAAAAATATATATATATGCGGCTCGGCCGCTTATGATTTATTTTATATTAATTATATATATTATATAATTAATACGTATACTTATCCGATCGACCGATAATTCGATTTTCGTCGAAATATTGTTAAAATGCTCGATTTTAAATCGCGAACTTTTTAGCGATCGAAATATGGGTTTAGCCGGAACGGGATGTTACACTTACTACACGATGAAAGAAAGCCGAGTTCATGTCTCATGTTTTAAGCCAACTCTCTCTAGACTTTTGCTTGTAGAAAATCTCTTCTGCTTCAAGTAGTGCTCTCAGCTCTACTCCCAGTTTGGTTTCAGTCTCAAACAGATCAGTAGATGGTGCAGCAAGAGCCTGTTGCTGAACTTCATTAACTTCCTTTTCCTTCATTTTAACTCTTTCAGACAGATCTGAATACTCCTCTCGATTCAACTTCCTTAGTAAGTTCTTTAGATTCTTAAGCTTCTGACTAACTCTAATCAGTGGGTGACCAGTCACATTACTCCTCCAAGCCTTCTCTAAAAGTGAATCAAATTTTGGATGGTGGATCCAAAACTTGAAGAATTTAAAAGGTTTGGGAATCGACTTCAATTCAGTTGCAGTATCAACATACATGGGGCAGTGATCAGAAATACATGGAGCCTCAAAATGAACCCGACTTTCCTTAATTGAATCTAACCATGAGAAATTCACCAAAACCCTATCCAAACGCTTTGCAATAGGATTTGCTACCTGCTTATTAAGCCATGTGTACCAAGGCCCAATAGCCTGGTGCTCCTCCAACTCCAGTTCATTTATCCAGTCATTGAAGACAGTCATAGGTACATCAACTCGAGGTGAGTTTGAGGCCTCTGAAGGATGCCTTAGGTCATTAAAATCTCCCATTACAATCCAGGGGCAGCTGCAACTCTAATTCTCTTTAAATTAGTATAAAGAGCTTTCCTCATGTTCTCATCATTAGCTGCATAAACCACTATCCCGAAAAAAGGTTGAATTCCCCCCACCATAAACTGCACAAACTGATCAGAAGAGTGTAAAACTGTAAGCGGAACGTCCTTTTTCCAGATCAACCAAATCTTCCCCAAACTAGAGTCATTATGCTTGATCTTTGTCTCCCAATCTGGAAAGCGCTTTTCAACTAGTTTATCTGTCTCAGAGGCTCTTATTCTTGGTTCAAGAACAACTACTATATCTATATTGTATTTGTTTATTTTATTAAGCAAAGCTATATATTTACTATCTGCCTTAAACCCTCTAGTATTCCAGGTAATAATTCTCATTTCCTTCCTCTACCTCTACCACCCTTACCTCCTTTCCTCGGTTGATAGGGGATCAACGAAGAGTTAATCCAAACCCTCTTTCCTTTATCTGGAGGCTCAATGTTCTTTTTGTCTTTGGACATTCCCCTCTGAGCATGTTGGAGCTGCAAGTTCCCAGAAACTGGCGACTTATCAGTCTCAGCATCTTGCTCAGTAGTAGAAGGACTCCCTCCCGTAGGAGATTATCCCCTAACTACCTGAGAAAAACTCGGGGGGGGGGGGGGGGCTCTCAATTGATGAAGGAGCTTGAATTTTAGCAGCCTCAATATTTAAAACAGGCTCCCCAGCCACAGTAGAGTCTGCAACCAATCCATTATCAGTCAGCACCTGAACAGTCAGCTCTTCCACCAACTCTTCTTTCTCTTGCCCAACATCCTCAACAGCTTCAACAATCCCCCCATTTACAGGAGCAGTTTCACTATTCTCAACCAGGCCAACATCCATGTCAGATGAATTTAGCACTTCTTTCGATACCTCCAGACCCACCCTCTCCTTCTCTCGCCATTCTCTAACAGGCTCCTGAGGGCAACTATGACCAAACAAACAACATTTCGAACAAACTCGAGGAAGCTGTAAATACTCCACCCCAATCTCAAAATCAGGGTCATCATCCGGATACAGCCTAATCCGTCTTGGGAAATCACAATCAGCTGCCAACTCAATACAGACCTTCGAAAACCCCAACTGATCTCCAACCCTAGTTTTCTAATCAGTCCAAAGAGGCCTCCCCATAGTACTAGCAACCCACTCAATTCCATCCTGTCCCAAATATTCCAAAGGTAATCCCAGGATCTTAACCCAGATAGGCAAGGTTTCGATCTTTGGCTCAATAGACTGAAGACCCACTTCCCACTTACGAAAGAAAACTGGATTTCCCCCCAGATGCCAAGGTCCCGATGTAAAAACCCAGTCACAGGAAGAACTCGATGGGAATTGAAAAACCAACATCTTAGGACCAAATCGCGAAACACGTACCAATCCATCCCTCCCCCAAAGCCGGTTAGCCTACGACTGCAGCTCCGCAACGTTCGGACGCTTCCCGACAAATTGCCCAATCAAAGACATCTTCCATCGCTCAGCGCCCTTCTCCTTCACAGCCTGTGGGATTCGAAAACCATCTTTAACCCTCTCAGGTGGGCGATATGTAAGTCTCTTTTCCGGAGCCACCGAGAATAAATTTGCCCAGGATGACGGAGACGAAGAACCCTCGCTAGCCGGCGAAGAAGCCGGTAGCGAGGAAGCCATCGCGATGGTTTCCTATAGAGCACGAAAAAAGGAGAGAGAAAGAAGAGAGAGAGTTTATAATATAATTAACTAGTTTTTTATTGACCTACTATAAAAATAAAAAATAAAATTCCATTTCCATTTTCATTTTTTTCGGAATTGTATACAAACAGTCGGTTACAAATTTACCCTCACTCACACGGCTGACGGCCCCTAAGGCCCTAACGAACATTTGGAAATTCACCCAATAATTTCAAAATTCAAATCAGCTCCAAAGTCTTGAAAGAAACCAAGTATAAAAAAATAAAAAATAAAAATAAAAAAGCTCTTTGATTCAACCAGCGGAACGCAACACTTCAAGTCTTCAACCGTCTTCTTCCCTTGCCCGTTTGTTCCTCTCTCTGCCGGTCTCGGATTCAATTCCATTCGAAGAATCACCGCCATTGTTGCTTTCTCCGCCTTTTGATCCTCCTGCCAAACGCTACAATCTCGAAGAAGGCACGTCAAGGTCACAATTCAAACTCTGCCGCCGTTCGCTTATTCTTTCCAGGAATAGGTCAGATCCTCGCATTTTGATCCGAAAAAGCTAGGAGGGAAAGGGTTGGTGAAGATGTCGACAATGGAGAGCTTGATCGGACTAGTCAACAGAATACAGAGAGCTTGCACTGTGTTAGGAGATCATGGCGGTGGAGAAAACATGTCTCTTTGGGAGGCTCTTCCCTCTGTGGCCGTCGTCGGTGGCCAGGTCCTTCTTCTGTTTTCTCTTCGTCTTCCGTACTCCTCTTTTCTGACTGCTCGCCTGTCCATCCCCTCTTGTGGTCTGAGCGGATCTTGTGTGTGAAATGTAGAGTTCGGGGAAATCATCCGTGTTGGAAAGCGTGGTCGGCAGAGATTTCCTGCCTCGTGGATCTGGTAAGCTTCCGTCTCCTTTCTCAATTCTCTGTACGACGATTAGCTTACAGTGCAAACGGCGTTCTTCTGTTTGTGGGCGAAGTTGGAGGGAGGATGTTTTTTTTTACTGTGTAGCTTCTCTTACGAGCTTTCACTGATTTGTTGAAGCTTGGGAAAGATGGTTTCTTTCTGATTCCTTGATCCGCTGCTCGTTAGCCGGATCTGACTTGTTTGGCATTTTCACGTCTAGGCATTGTTACGCGGAGGCCGCTAGTGCTGCAACTTCATAAAATAGAGGAGGGACGCTCTGATTATGCCGAGTTTCTTCATCAACCGAGAAAGAAGTGGACTGATTTTGGTATGTAAAAAACACTTTGTGTTGCTTTCTTTGATCCTTGAACCATTAGACCTGGGCACATAGCTAGTTAAGGTCATCACCTTGTTGGAGTGCTTGAAGCAATCCTAAGCTTGGTTAGTTGTTTGTTTAAAGGGTTTTGAATGGTTGCCTTGTATCTCTGTAAATACAAACTAAACAGTCATTTGGATATCTTCAGAACCATTTTTCTCTGAAGAGTTGGTGTAGGTGATAATTAATTTCCCCCTTTCTATGCCTGTTTGATCATTGATGTCATCACCAGCTTTGTCGAGGTTTTTATGTTAAAGGTTCATGCAGTTGAAGAGAATACGTATTTAAAACAATTACATTACCTTATGTGATCAATTTTTTTGGTTTTAATCAAGTTCCCATTGTATCTTCTTCGCCATATAGGGAGTGTGATCTGTGCTTAAATTTTTAGTGCTAAAATCAGAGTACATGCTCTTGATGCCGTGAACAGAAGTCGGTCAGAAATGAGTCCCCATGACTTGTGTTTTTAACTGATTCTTATAGTCATTCAAGTTAGGTTCAGAGGGTCAGAATCCTCTGTGTTCATGTAGCTCTTTCATGGGTTATTAGACTGGTGTATCTGTGTAGCTTTAATCCGGGATCACTAGTCTGCACTGAATGTTTGTCTTGGATCTGGGCATGGTTGCTTCACATATGTGCATCTGTACCGAATAACTCTTTAGATGGACCTGGGTTCACAAGTACCATGATACATGTTCACCAAAACACTTGTTTTGTTTCTTATTGTTGTTTAAGATGTTTGTATGTGTTAATCAGTTTCGTTGGAGTTATGACAGCTCTACCATCATTTTACTGTTGACTGAGATTCTCTCCTTTTTATGCAGCCGCTGTGCGGAAGGAGATCCAAGATGAAACCGATCGAATAACTGGGAAGACGAAGGCAATATCTAACATTCCAATTCAATTGAGCATATATTCCCCAAATGGTGTGTAATTGGATTTTTCTCCTCACTGATAGAAACGTTTATTGAAATTTTCTGTCTCATGTATGTGTAGCAAATTAATGTTGTTTTAGCTTCCTCTGATTAGATTAGCTTTGGTTATTGTAAATGTTTCACTTTCCGCAATTTCCTTCACTGCACTTATAAAAAAAATAAACAATTTTCTTCCCTGTTTCCTCTTTTTGTAAGTTACATAATATGTTTGCATATAAATTCCAATTAACTCTTGTCTGTTGTGGTCTTGACTTGTCATTCTGTTGTTTGTGCCAGTTGTCAATTTAACCCTCATAGATCTTCCAGGGTTGACAAAAGTTGCTGTAGGTAATTACTCTAATGAAAGCATTGCCCAGTACAACTATCTCATTATGTTTCTGTTAAACAATGACCAGACACTGTAGTGATGGAATTGTTTTTTTAACATCTACAGAGGGTCAGCAGGAAAGCATTGTTCAAGATATTGAAAATATGGTCCGTTCTTATGTTGACAAGGTGAGAAGTAGTAGTCTTCCCGTTTATCTTTTGGAAATTCAGAAGAAAAAAGAAGAAGAGAGAAGATGAATGTCAAAGAAGAATCTTATGATTGATAAAAAAGAAGAATCTTATGCCTTAATGTCCTTGGAGTTATAAGTCTTCAATTCCTTTTATGGGCGAGTCTTTTGGTGCTGACATGCCAGATTAGTTTAACAATGAAAGTAACCTGATTTTTTGAGGTTTCCAAAATTGTAAACTTTCTAGTCTTTGAGAAGTAGTAGTCTTTCCGTATATCTTTTTAGAAATTCAGAAGAAAAATGAATAAGAGAAAAGGGGAATGTCAAAGAAGAATCTTAGGCCTTAATGTTCCTGGAGTTATGTGTCTTCAATTCCTTTTATGGGCGTGTCTTTTGGTGCTGACATGCCAGATTAGTTTAACAATGAAAAGTAACTTGGTTTTTGAGGTTTCCAAGGTTGTTAACTGTCTAGTCTTTGAATGCTATTAATACTATTGGCTGGTGGACTTATAAGCTTTTGAAGATATAATGAGTATTAGCTTCAAGTTAGTTTGAAGGGAGTGGGATTGTAGTGAAGCACTTGATTCGTAAAGTCAATTTTTCTTGTGCCGTTGTGGTTGTGCTACTATCCTGCTTATGTATTCAGTAGATCTAACTTTTGACTCTGATTTGGTAGCCCAATTGCATCATATTGGCTATTTCTCCAGCAAATCAAGACATTGCAACATCAGATGCCATAAAACTTGCACGAGAAGTTGATCCAACAGGTAAAAATAATAGGCTGACTGTTGTGCAATCTAATGGTTCGTCAGATGGACTGGATTTGAAAATTGTTGTTTTTGGTCTGCTACTTAGGTGAAAGAACGTTTGGTGTCTTGACAAAACTTGATTTGATGGATAAAGGAACAAATGCTTTGGATGTAAGGCCTTATTATCCTCTATTTATCAATTCCTAGGAACACAATGAATTTCTTTGTGAAATTCACTAATGGTTCTATGTGTGGTTAAGGTTCTTGAAGGACGATCATACAGATTGCAACATCCATGGGTTGGAATTGTTAATCGTTCTCAAGCTGATATCAACAAAAATATTGACATGATTATAGCCCGTCGAAAGGAGCGTGAATATTTTGAAACAAGCCCGGAATATGGTCATTTGTCTAGTAAAATGGGGGCAGAATATCTTGCAAAGCTTTTGTCCAAGGTATTTTCATGAAAATTCTATTTTAAGTGTTCTATTGTGTACCAACTTTCTTTTGGTTGATTCCCTTAACAGTGTTTCTGTTTCATGAATTCAGCATCTAGAGACAGTTATTAGGCAGCGCATACCAAGCATCATTGCTTTGATAAACAAGACAATAGATGAGATTAATGCAGAGTTGGATCGGGTTGGAAGGCCTATTGCAACAGACTCAGGGGTAATATCTTGCATGAGTGCACTTTGTCACATCTTGCAACCAAGACTACTCTCGTGTCATGTTTACGTACCAACTGTTTGTCTTTGCTTTTTTGCAGGCTCAACTATACACCATTCTTGAATTATGTCGTGCATTTGATCGTGTATTTAAAGAGCACCTAGATGGAGGGTAAATTTCTTTACTGCTGTTGCTTTCGTAATATGCTTTGACATAATATACGGAAGGCTTCTCCTGTTTATTCACAATTAGTTGAAACATGTGGAGCATTTACATTGCGGACAAATTTGCTTGTCAATGCACAGATTATTTCCTTTAGTTTGCGTAGTTGCCTTGGTAAAAGGCTCAAGTGTATTTCATGGATAATGGTATTTTTCCTGATTAATATTTATTGTCCTACATGTAAAAGGAAGATTTGGAAGGAAAGGAAATATGCTTTAAACCACCTGTTTTTTTTACATGATTGTTTATAAGATTGTGGCCAATATTGCAAGATATACATTCACGTCTCTGAATATCTTTTGGACGTTTCGCTTTCTCTGGGAATGATTACATGATTTACTAATGGGGGTTTACCGTAGGCGTCCTGGAGGAGATCGAATCTATGGGGTGTTCGATCATCAACTACCTGCTGCATTAAAGAAGTTGCCATTTGATCGTCATCTCTCAACGAAGAATGTGCAGAAAGTTGTTTCAGAAGCTGATGGTTACCAGCCACACTTAATAGCTCCAGAGCAGGGTTACAGAAGGCTGATTGATGGATCGATCGGCTTTTTCAAAGGCCCAGCTGAAGCCTCTGTTGATGCTGTAATTCTCTTTCTTATGCCTTGAATAATTGTTTGATATAGTGGCCACCAAATATAAATAGGAATTTATTGCAATCATCCTTAGTCCTTACTAATGATAGATAATTAACGTGTGAGATATAGATGATGTTCATGGTTTGTCATCTATGCTCTAAAATTGTATGCCATCAAGTGGGAAAAAAGCTGTAGCCATTAGTTATGGTCTGCATGCATGTCCTCATAAACTTAGTCTCCCTTTTGCTGGGGAAAGAGGATACATAGCATATTTTCAGAACTCATCAAGTATTTTTTGGATATTGAATTCTGAGATGTATATTTCACTATTTTACTTGTACATTTATCATATGGAAAAACCTCCTATGTTAATGGTGGTGCATTACTGGTTATTGCTTTTTTATGTGTTACCATCAAATCAATATGCTACTTTTCAGACCGTGGCGCATCTATGCTTTCACTGTCATAGTTTGTGTAGGCTCAGTCACACTTATTAGCTTAGTGTTGGAATATAGGTGAGACATGTTGATCTTTCTGTAACATACAGCTATGGAATAGGGCAACAGGAAGTGTTTGGATGACTCTTCTTGCATCTATACTGTAGCTACCTGAATGATCTCTCTACGCTTTTGCTATACATTTGTGTGGAAGATAAAATCATATAAGTGAAACAACTAGACTTTTCATATACCTAGACACTTTGGGTCTGCTGTTGTCCGTTTGTTTATTCTTTGTAGGAAGTGGTATCTTGAACAACTATTTAGTCAGAATGACTCCTGATAGCAGTCATGTTTTGTCATTCACACTTGTTTTATCTATTGTTAAGTTATCTTTTACATGAAATATGCAGGTGCATTTCATTTTGAAGGAACTTGTACGGAAGTCAATAGCCGAAACAGAGGTAAGAAATCCTTTGTTGCAAGAACCATTTTCAAGAACTGTTCGTAGTAGGCTGCATCTGATTGGAGTTTGATTTTCATGTTTGGGTTGCATGCAAATGGAAATAAGAATCTAGTGTACGTTTTGACCTACATATAGAATTGGAGACATGATGGCTTCACCCATAAAATAAAGGAAGAGAAATATGGAAATTGTTTTGGAACATATGAACATAGGGATTGCTAGAAGCAACTTTTGCACATTTATTCTCGTTCTATCAGTAACTCTATTAATTTCATATGTGGATGATGGTGATGTACTAGTAGTGCATACTTGCCAGTGGTTTTGATGATGTCTGCAGTTATCACTGGTAGGGTGACGAGTCTCTTAGATAAAACTTAGGTAACCAGTTTGCGGAGCGAGAGCGGGATCGGGAACGAGAGCGTGAGAGCGCCTATTCGTGAAGAACTCGAGATAGAGAGCGTGCACAGAGCGTCATTATTATATTATTATTAATTATTTTTTATGGTAGTTCATACTTTTTTTTTGTGAAAATGATAGTTAGTACTTAATAGTTAAGACAAAGAGTACTACATTAATATTTAACAAAAATATCAATTAATTGAAATAAAAATGGGAAAGTAATAAATAAACGGATTGAAGAAGAAACACAAAAGGAAAAAATTATTCACCCTACAAAATATGACAGACATATACATATTTACCTATAATTTATCAAATTTACTTTACTCGTTCCTCAATTTCCATCTTCAATTATAAAAACAAAAAACAAAAAGTTGACCGTCTTCTCAAAATCCTTTTTTTATGTTCTGCTAGTTCGACAGATAGATTGGCTTTCCCATCTTGCTTTGTGATGATCTGGTCGCTCTTCTTATTGTCAAAGCTGTTATAGCTTTTAAGTTTAGAAGCTACTGGCGGTGGTTCCAGCTGGCTCTGCAGACATATCCAAGGTAGCTTCTTTCCTCGGAAACAGAATTTGGATGATTTGGGAATTGGGGGACGTTACCAGGAGATAGATAAGAGAAATTACAGTGAGTGATTTCAGTTAGAGGAAATATGTAATGAATAAATCTCGTTCATCTAACCGAAAGGAGGAAGGGAGATTGACGTTTACTAATGCGACGACCTTGCATAAAGGGGAAATAACGGGGCTGATGAAGTTATGATATCTCTGTTCTAGTTTTAAGGAGTTAGACGGCGAGAGAAGCTTTTCCTCAACCAATTCGCGAACTCAAGAAAATAAATCGCGCTCTCCACAAAGTTGGTTTGCGAATTTTTCCCGACTTCCAAAGAATCCGCGTTTAGACGCGCTAGAGTGGGAACGGCAGCCCTATGCTGACGAATTAGGTAACCTAAGATAAAACTCGAGATTTTTCCAGAAATAGCACTGTTTAAAAAAAAATTCCAAAAATAGCACCCAACTCCGAAAAATTCCAAAAATAGCACCATTTTTGTAAAACCGCAACCCGGAGGTGCGTTTTTCGATGAAAACGCCACCCGAGGGCGCGTTTTTCGATGCAAACCGCACTGGTAGGGAGCGGTTTTGCAAACCGCACCCCCAGGGTGCGATCTGCCTTTTTTTTTTTTTTTTTTGCAAACCGCACCCCCAGGGTGCGATCTGCTTTTTTTTTTTTTTTTTTTTAAAAATCCTAACTTAGGTGGAAACTTCAAACGAACGTATCTTTATGTTCGGGTATCCGATCGTCGCGATTTTTTTTTTGATTCCGCATAATTTTTCGAGATCTTGCAAGCCGCAAAATGCCGAAGGCGGTTTGGTCCCGCCTTCGTCCCGAAAAAACGTCGTTTGCTACCCCGAACGAGCCTTTTTTCGATTTCGTCAAACTTTGAACGACCATAACTTTGTGCTCCACAATCCGAAAATCATGAACTTTTTTTTGATTTTGCATAACTTTTCGAGGACTACAATTTTTTATAGGAGAGAATTTTCAAAAAATGAATTATTTTGGATATACGGGGTTTTGGGAATAAGTTTACCTTTCTTTTTAGGAATCCAAGTACATTCCGAAATTATGTCTATGATAAAAAATTTAGTCCTCAAAAAGTTATGCAAAATCAAAAAAAAAATCATGATTTTCGGATTGTGGAGCACAAAGTTATGGTCGTTCAAAGTTTGACGAAATCGAAAAAATGCTCGTTCGGGGTAGCAAACGACATTTTTTGGTTCGAAGGCGAGACCAAACCACCTTTGGCAGTCTTCGGCTTGCAAGATCTCAAAAAGTTATGCGGAATCAAAAAAACAATCGCGGCGATTGGATACCCGAACATAAAGATACGTTTGTTTGAAGTTTCCACCTAAGTTAGGATTTTTAAAAAAAAAAAAAAAAAAAAAAAAAACAGATCGCACCCTGGGGGTGCGGTTTGCAAAAAAAAAAAAAAAAAAAAGGCAGATCGCACCCTGGGGGTGCGGTTTGCAAAACCGCTCCCTACCAGTGCGGTTTTCATCGAAAAACGCGCCCTCGGGTGGCGTTTTCATCGAAAAACGCACCTCCGGGTTGCGGTTTAAAAAAAATGGTGCTATTTTTGGAATTTTTCGGAGTTGGGTGCTATTTTTGGAATTTTTTTTTTAAACAGTGCTATTTCTGGAAAAATCTCATAAAACTCCTGTTTGGATAAACTTATCATCTATGCTAAAATTCTTGTCTTCCTCTTGTCATAGAGTGGTCTCTCTTTGTGTTGCTTATTGTGACATATAGTGAGACTAAAGCTTTTATTTAGCAGATGCTCTTGCTTGTTACACGGACTATACTTTGAGTAGGTTGAAACGACTAGATTATGAACATTTTGTCGATTTGAACCATTATGATCTGAAATTTTTTAGGTTCTCAGACCTCCTTAGAATTAATTCTCACTCATTGCATGAATGATCCCTCCCGTATGACCTAAAGTTGATTAACTCATGACGATGCAGGAGTTGAAGCGCTTTCCAACACTCCAGTCTGACATTGCTGCTGCTGCTAATGAATCCCTGGAAAGATTCCGTGATGATAGCAGAAAAACAGTTCTGCGACTTGTGGACATGGAGTCTAGCTACCTGACAGTGGAATTTTTCCGTAAACTTCAAATGGAGCCAGACAAGCCCACAAACTCAAAAGAAGCGCCAAACCCAGCTGTCCCGGCGATTGATCGTTACAATGACCATCATTTCAGAAGGATCGGTGAGCAAGTTTATATTTTTTGTAGTGCTCATTGTTTCCCTTCTTTAGTCAAGCATTCACCAAATACACTTCTTCCAAGTGTTTTGAACTATCTGCTTGGTCAGTTGGGAATATGAACGTGTAGTGTTAGAAAATTATCAAAACTTAAATGAGTGAGATGCCTAATATGTGTGTGTATTTTAGATGGAGAAATAAATGATTTGGCGTACTCTGTTTCAGGATCAAATGTGAATGCTTACATCAACATGGTTTGCGATACGTTGCGCAACTCGGTTCCCAAGGCTGTGGTGTATTGTCAGGTCCGAGAGGCCAAGAGATCTCTTCTTAATCACTTCTACACTCAAATAGGAAGAAGAGAGGTAATGCTTCTTTAATCTCTATTGGCTTTATCATCGAGTTTCTATGTTTCTGTACTCTTCTCTTATGTACAGAGCCGTGCACATGCATTTATTTGTCATAATGGTTAGGGAACATGAGATAGTAGCTGGAAGACCAAATGTCTATGTTAAGATGTGAGATCACTGTTCCACAGTAGTCTGTCCGTCCTTGGCATAACATATTATATAAGGAGAGATTGGTAGTAGCCAGTGCAAAAACTGCTGAACGATGAAATGTTTGTCTTGCTTCCGGTTCATTACTTAAGGTTCTCCCAAGTTAAACTAAAAAAGACACTTCTGCAAATACACATGATATTACCTTTTGGTTCTTTACAGAAGGAACAGCTTGGTGCGATGTTGGATGAAGACCCACAGTTGATGGAAAGGAGGACGCAGCTAGCAAAGCGGCTCGAACTGTACAAATCAGCACGGGACGAAATAGATTCAGTCGCATGGAAATGAGAGAAGTTGTACACAATCTACTGATCCACACTTGGGTTCTCTCCTGATTGAGATGCCCACATTGACTGCGGTTATTACTAACTATTCTTTCTCGATACTCTCGCGCACCACTCCGATTATTTTCCGGCCAATTCTTGCTTGTTAGAAGAGTAGCTGGATTGTACAACAACACACAACAGGTCAGTTAGTCAATACGATGTTGATGATGCATTGGGAAAGGAGTTTTTGGGATGGTCTGGTGCTGTTGCGACTGAGTGGTGAAAATGTGTACCCTTTGTGTAGTGTGTATGATTTAGTGGTAATCTACCTTGGTACTTTTTTTTGCCATGATAGTGTTTAGCAGTGGAGATTGAAAGGTCTCAGGGTCCCACTTCTTTGGAAGATTGTTGTGGGGGAGACAGAAGATTGGGTGAATATGGATTTGGTGTCTAAATTCTAAACTCTACACATGACAATAGTAATGCCACCAGCCTATTTGATATTGGGGTCGTTTGGATAGAGTATTTGTATGAGTTATTTGGGTTCAAATAACTTACAATGAGTTATTTGGATGTAAATAACTCGTTTGGCAGCGTTTTACTGAAATGAGTTATTTGGACAGTGAGTTATTTACAAATAACTCAAAACGAGTTATTTGAAACAATTTATACTTATGTGTTATTTCGAAATAACTCGTTTTATCACTCCGCTTTTACCAAATACCACATGTCAAATACCACATTTGCATGGTTCAACCAAACGAGATACTTTATTTCAATTACCACTAAAATAACACTGAAATACCACATGAGTAATAAATGAGTTATTTAACTCTACAAATACCACATTGACAATTAACCCATCCAAACTACCCCTTAGTTTTTTCTTCTTGTTCTGTACGGGTAATGAGGGAGTGTGTATTTTGATAAAGGATTTGTTGAAATCATCTCCTTTCAATGAGTGGTACTATACTACTATTGGTATTGATACGTGATCCCAGCTCAGGTGGCCGGCCGGCATTGTGTTTTCTTGGTTGATAGTGGGGACTGGATTTTAACATCTACACTATGCATTGTTTTTCTTTTTTCATAGGAATGACACAATAATTAAAATCTTGATCCTCATTGGGAAAAAATAGTTTTTCAAAATAACCGACACATCTCTGCCAAAATTTTCGTGAGAAATCCAAGTTTTGTCTTTAAAAAATTTCTAATACGGGACATCCAAACACCCTCGATAATCGTAATCGACACATCTTCGTTATATTGCAAGAAATTTGTTGCCATAGACCTACTAAAATATGTCAATATAAGAGTTGTCGGATTTCAGACTAGCTAGTTAGTTAGTTGGTTGTACGAGAGTAAACAATTACTTAGATGCTGGTACTTAGCAAGTATTTAGAGAGATGACTGTCACCTTAAAGACAAGCTCAGTTATTTGATTGAGTATTAAATTGATAAGTAATCGGGTTGAATAAGGTGATTAGACAGTGAATTTCAGGCAGTCTTTCCCTAAAGTTTCTTTCTATAGTTTTTTTATTGAAGTTAATTTCCAACGTGCTTTCTAGTTCAGTTATTGCTTTACATTTAATATATACAAAAGCACTCTAGTTCTTTTCAGTTCCTTAATTTTAACTATTAAATCTAGAGTTATACAGATTCTTATGGCGTGATAATACATACTTATCTTTGAGAACAAGTGATTGGCGTAGTAGTAATACTACTAGTCTTCAATTTCGAGGTTCCAAGTTCGAATCCTTTAGAACCTAATTATAAAAATAAACTTATGTCACCCTTATCTAAAAAAGATAACAGACTTATCTTTATTACTCGATTAGTAATTTGCATACTCATTTTATCGTTTTAAATTCACATTTCTTCCTCTTTACCCCTTTCATCGTTTTAAAACACTTGCCATCTCCTTTACCCCTTTTAAATTCACATTTCTTCCTCTCGTTTTTATGTCTGTTGAGTGTCGAGAGGGAAAATCTCCAACCCCTATCTCTAGTCCCTCTGTTCCACCCTCCAATTGTCGGCGTCTGGTCGACGATATCCCCATTCTTGTTCAAACTTCCACGTTGATGCATGCCGCCACCCTGCGAAATGACCTTTTTCAGATATTAACTTAATCAAGAGCGATCTTCAAATTTGTTAAGTGAAAAATTTATGAACAATTTTTTAGTTGTATATAAAAAAAGTTAGATTGGCAACATACGTTACAAATGTAATTAAGAAACCTTTCAGAATATTAAAGTTCATCGTGGTTTGTTGTAAAAATAATAACGAAATTGTAAAATTAATGAATAAAATTATTTTTTTTTAATTACCTAATTTTTATTCATTTAATCAATTAATATTTAATTTTCACTTATTTTTATTGGTTGATACACTTATCCTAGGTCTGTCACTGACGATAGTGATATGACATCATAAAATTTTCTTGTCAAACATAAGACCTTATACCAATATCATATCACTATCATATCAACATCATACAACTATGATATCATGCCCCCGTTAGTGGTAATATCGTGATATGACAGTGGTATGATGACTTGAAGTTTTTTTGTTAAAAAAATATTAAAATGAATATCATCTTATAAAACACAAAAAATATGATATTTCTATGTAATATATTTTGAAAATCGATGTAAAACCAATGTGCTATGGTTCGTTGAATTTTCAGAAAAGTTTTGAAAAACGCTTTAACAGTACACCTAGAAATCCGCACACATCTCCAAGAATCTTGCCAGCTATCCCAAAACTCCGGTTAGCTCTCTCCTAAGCCACTTTTTTCCCTCCTTACCCTCTTTTATGGGAGCAGATTCGGTGAGTAACCTTGTGGTGCTATAACCCCATGCATAACTCAATAAGAATACCCCTTCTTCTCTCTCCTCGAAAAATCTTTGATTTCCGTTCTCTTAATCTTTAATGGACGATTTCTCACTCGTTTTAACTCGGAATTTTTTTTGCACAGTTAGATCAGATTAATTGTGCTCTTCAAAATGATATCCACTTTGATAGTTTTTGGAACAAAAAAATTTGCCGGTTATTACCAGTCTATACCATATGGTATTGACTGGTATTAAATAACAGCTTACCATATGGTATGAAAAATACCACCCATACCAGGGTGGTATAGTATGGTATGTAGTTGGTAACGAGAGGTATGAAATTTTTTCACCCAAATTTTTTTGAAATCCAATAGATCATGATTAAATCGTTCCTTATGTGCAAAAATTTCCAAAAACGACTAAAAACGAAGGAGATACCATATGGTATGGAGTTGGTAACGAGAGGTATGAAAAATATTGAAAATGGATATCATTTTGTAGAGCACAACAAACTCGTTTCATCTGTGCAAAAAAAAATTGAAATCCGAATTAGAATGAAGAAGATATGATCCAATCAAGAAAACTAGGGAAAAAATTCTTTTAATTCTCCACCCTTAGATCTATAGCCACTTAAAAGAAGGGTCGAGATTTGGTACTCATAGTTATGCATCCTAAGGTTATGCATCCTATCTTAAGCCCCTTTATGACATGAACCATTAAATCTCTTTCTAAAATTAGTGATTACAACCATTAGATAAGGTTTTGTATGTAACCTAAGCCTTTATTAATTAGATAACTTCCGGATTTTGATTTGTCACATATAGATAATATCTATTTGGGTTCGTTTAGGTGAGTCTTTTTGATGAGACAATTTGGTTTAATTGACTTAAAATGAATCAATTAGGACAAATTGACTCATTTGAAAACAAAAAATGAAAATTGAAACATTTTGAAGTGGGGATATCATAATTTTTTCATTATGGATCAATTCAAAATACCCCAGATAGAGGGAAATATTTTCAATTGATCCATTTTCTCACATCTTTCCCAATTCTGACCTTTTCCTTTAGTGACAAACCCTTTCTCTTTCTTCCTCTCTTCTCTTGACAGAGAAAAACATTCCTCTTATCTTTCTTTCCCCTCTCTCTACAGAGAAATCTATTCATTTTCTATTCTTCTATTTCATGTCTCTCTTTGATAAAGGGGAGAAAGGGCTCTCGAAGCAGAATTCATCGACGTTGATGTAAATTAGTGATAATGTCATGAAATTATAATGTGGTCAGTCTTTTGCATTTCTGTTGGAAAGACTGACTACATTATAATTTCATAACATTATCACTATATTAATATTAAATTTTATTACTCAAAGATAAAAAAATCATACCACTCTCGCACGATTATCTTACTACTATACTAAGACTAATAACGCACATCATACCAAAATGATATTATTACTACAGTAAAACTTAATTATGATCTAACCTGTTGCCTGTTGGAGCATTGAATTCCCATCTCCATCAAGTCTTATGGATCATCTAGCTTCTCTAGTTCGAAAAGGAGGATTTCGAAGCTCAAGGGTTCCCGAGATTGCAGAACATGGGATCAATCAACTCTGCAAAAAATCATGCTCCTGAAGTTTCCGGGCTTTAAGATTTGTTTCTTTGCATGGAGTCTCAGAATTCTTCTTGAGTGGATGCTCAAGCAAATCCCTAGCTGCCCTTGGGTTGGAGAGGCAACGCCTATTACTCTACCCTGTTACTTATTTTTGTCTACGATTTCAAGCAACAAGATCAAAACAGAAGCTTTCCCTCTTCTACATTCTCTTTGCCTACTAAATCTTAGGGCACATAAGCTAGCATCCGCAGATAATTTACCGTAATTCATAACATGCATAGATGAGCCATTTGGATACGTTAACAACGAGAACAAGACAACCCCTCTTATTTGCACAGAAAATTAACGTATATACTTAGAATGAACAATCTATACATGCATGTTTTTCTAAGAAACTTAACCTAATGGTAAAACACACCACCTCACACGGTTATCGCTACAAGCCATCCAAGAGTTGATCCTTCTGCAGTATCCGTTTCGATTTGGACGTCTTTCAGCTGATGTCGCCCAGAGCTACCAAGTACTCCGTACACAATCTATTTGAAAACATTCTGTTTCTGAAAAATAAGCAATGCACAACAAGTTTGGTAAAATTCGAAGGATCCACAACAAGTTGCATGTATGTGTGGAGAGATGATCAGTTTAGGACTAACGTACGTGAAGTCTGAACCTTTCTCGATTCGTCGGACTAGCATCTTGAACTATGGATATTGTCTTGGGATGGCAGATCCTCAAAAGACCTTCAAGAACACGGATAATATATGATGCATCCTCGTCAGAAAGTTTGGACGAGCAGTCCCGCCTGAGTTGTAAACGATGCTAAAGTGGTCATTGACAAGATTAATCAGACTGACATCAGAGATAACCGGATGTGTGTTGTTCTTGAAGAAATCGTACATTATTTTGATACCCAACCGGGGTTTACTGTTCGATTTGTAGGTCGGCGTAGTAATAAGGTAGGCCATGCTGTGGTTAGAAAGGCTCTCTCATTGTTATCGGCCGCCGACGACGGCAGCAGATCTCCGCTTGAGATTGCTCTTCATGGTCGTTATTCCTCTTCCTCGCCTTATCTACTCGATGGAACGTTTCTGAACTGCCGGATCGCTCCACCTCACAGGTTGCAATGTCAGACGATTATTAATTGGGGGTTTATTTGTTATTTGACGTTTTATATTATGTCGGTTTCGGGAACTATTGGGGTTAAATCGGTTAGGTTAAGTCTTTGGGTAGCTATAGGGAATTAGTCGGTTTATATATATTCTGTGTTAGGCCTAAGTTAGGGTTAAGCAATAACAACAGAATTATTCCCTAAAGCTCTCTCTCTCCCTCTCTCATTGCCGAACCCCCTCTTCCCTCTCCAACCCGTCGGCCATCAT